AACAGCTCGGCTCTAATCGTTCCCTCGCCGTGCCGTCGAATGAGGAAACGGTTATTTATACCTCTTTCGAACAAATGTAATAGGTCAGCCGGTGGAATTATACACGAGGCGACTAACACGAAAAGACGTTCTTCGGATCGCCACAAAATAGGTCCGGTCGTACCGGCGTCGCGATGTGACACACTTTTCCGACATTCCGAAACGTAAGTTCATCTAGGACGCGGCTTACCTTCCATATTGCACTCGTAATTGAGTCCTTCGTGCATAATTCCGTCCAATTACGGAGGCGCGGAGAGATTCGCGAGGTTCCCGCGTTCAACCCCGTCGGGCAGAAAATGCGACCGTACCTTATCGTCCCTTTCTCGCGATTTGCCGATCGTTTCGCGCGAAGCCGCCCTGATGGAATCATATGGTACTGGACAGAGCATGGAATCGTGCTGACGGACGTAGAAAGAGACGTGCGAGGGGTAGCAGCAGCTAGACTGGAACTGTGAGGAACATTTTAATTTAATCGTTCATACATCTGTGTTTAATACATTTCCTTTGCGTAATAAACAAGTAGATATAATGATTACGACGTATATTTACTTCTAAAGTGGTCCGTATTATTTCACATAATGAACTACGGTAATTTAATTGTATAAATCGAATTTATATTTTATCCAACAGATTTTCAAGGTATATGTTTCATAATTCTGCGAATGTCTTTAAGTATAGTCTTGTATGCTCTTTTGTCTGATTAGCACGCGTATAATGATTAATCTCAATGATGAAGAACGTTCATTGTCTTTTGTATATCGAAGGTTACATCAATAAAAGATAATAAAAATGAACCGAGTGATAGAAAAGAATAATAGTACACTCTCCATTCTCATTAGACAAAATTCAATCAGTGAGAAGATAGAAAGAGAGAGATCCGTATTTCTCTCTTTCTAGACCCGTCAACAGGAAAGATCAAAGAAATGCATGCTCCGGTACCATATCCACGATGGGAGGAATCTTGAATTCCGAGAAAAGTTCGTGCCGAGAACTCTCGAGGACGAAACCGAGCGCGGCTGGACGGCACAATAGACGTAGACGCAATGCTGATTAGGATAAATTTTCATTGGGCCGACGCCTTCATCTTGAGGCCGACGCCTTCATCTTGGGGCCGAGTTTCTTTCCGCCGTGGCGCGGCGATTGGGCGCGCTCTGTCTCCCGCTACACTATTATGCCGCACGAATGCGTGCGTCCGTTGCTGAGCGATGATGAGATCCTCAAAAAGTGAGTGATTCCGGGCGCGGCGAGGCCGCGCGCATGCCACGCGCGTGAATAACGAACCTCGCTTACGTAACGCCCGGCGAAGATCGAAATTCGTGGAGTCATGCGGAGCCGCGGGATTTTTCGCCTCGCGTAGACAAGTTTCTGCGATCTAATACGATTTCCCACAATAATTATGGATTCTAATCGGGACGTCTATGCAGGTTATATGATTAGAAGTGTAATGTTACAAATATTTCAGCTGTGAGAAGCAAAATTTAGTTATCTGAAACGAAAATGAAACAGTTTTTTCGTTGAGTGAACCCTAACATTTGATTTAGGGAGCCAAATTTTAGTTATCATAACTAAAACACTTGTTTGTCTATTTATCTAAACAAGCATTTTGAGTTCAACTAACTAAATGGATTTTTCAGAGTATACGACATACTTTAACCCTTTTAGTGCCGGGAGCCGATATATCGCTACACCGGCGAGAAGTGCCAGAGCCGATATATCGGCCCGCACCTTGTAGCGCTTTACTATTCGCATTGCGAGAGATCTCTATCAAAATAAATTTAAAATACGTTATAAATAGTCTAATTTCATTACGAGAGAATTAAAATAAATAATTTTTAAATATTGCTTTTCGTTTGGTTTTTATGAGCCTTTTACCAAATCCTAGTAAAATCGGCCGGTTATCTTCGCATAAGCACCTCTTTTTCGCCCGGAACTAAAAGGGTTAAGTATTTACGATTTACAAGCATATACATACAGAGAAAATTGAACAGAGAGATTAATGCAGAGAGAATTGTCGCAAGCAAATAAATTATTTGAAAGAGGTAATACTATATTAGAAAAATATTTAAAAACCTTTGTTTCAGTGGAGCAATATTTAATATGTAATAAAATAAGTTTTTTTTTATTGAAAACCAAATATAACTTTCTCTAAATAATATTGGTTTTTTTTTCTTATCAAGAGAATATTGTTTATTCTAATGAAATAGCACTTTTATTCAAATAAAATGATTCTTGATATTAAACTATGTTGTTTATATTAAACGAGCCCAAGTCAAACAAACATGTGTATTAAATGCAAAGAAATAATTTTTTCAGTGGACGCATATGCTATTAAACATAGTAACATTAAAAATATAACGCCGTTTATTCACTTTCTATTTTGATATTCAGTCAAATTATTATTCGGATGATGATATCTGATGATGACAGTTGTACGAAGCAAGCCAATCGCAGAAGATGTTTCATCCCAATGAGAATGGGATGAGAATCGGACTCTGTGCTGTGAAAAGAATTTGTGAAAATTCTACACGCCGCGAGTTTCTCGTCTTTGATAACGCAATTATCCGCTTCAAACGCGGGAAACGAGTGCCTCTCTTTCTTCCGTTCGTCAGATTTTCGCGAGTTCGGCCGTTGCATGACGAAAAAACTTGTTTGTCCGCTTTATTATAATAGACATGAGTGTGCGTTTCTCTTAAAATAAACCGTCCATACGTTTGCGCGAAGATTAACAAGTCGGTGCGTTATGTCATTTCCTATCTTGCACGATAGGAGATGAATACATTCGTCCGGTTGTTCTTTTTCGTCTGGTGTACAATGTTTTACTCACTTATCATTCTTCAACGCGTGAAATTCGCGAAAATTTTCTCATGAGAAATTACTTTCGAAAATTAACAATGACACTGTCGAATGGGGAAAGTGATTTCCCATCAATTGGAAAAGGGATGCTCCAGCCGTGATTCGATCGCCGTTACTTTGTAGAATTTAGGAAAGGCGTAGCAACGGAGTTTCTTCTGCAAAGCAGCTTCCTATTGAGAACGAAGGCGACTCGCGCGCACGTAAGAATGCATTAAAGCGATCTACGAGCGTAAGACACAAAGCAGCCATGTGACTGGAGCCGAATGTGCGTTACGTCTCGCACGACGAAATGAGCAAGGCGCTCGCGCTCTAAAGATAGAAGTTGATGTGTCTCTTCGGCTAACGCAGCCTTTGAATCAGCGTGCGAAACAAAGATAAACGAATCAACAGAGGAGATCGGCTCACGATCGAATATTTCATTGTCTCCTGAGAGGGAGATTTGAGTTGAAAATTGGGAGGGCACGGAAGTTTCGCTCAACGACGCGTACTCGACGGCGCTGAAATCTCAGCGTCGCCGCGAAACGTTCCCGCGATTAACCGTGATAAGTGACACGTCAGTGGTGAACCGCTCGCGTTGCTCTCCTCGGTGTGGCGGATTTACGATGTAAGTCCAAGTTAAGGCGTCGCCTCTGTATCAACGTTAATCGTAATGGGCGATTTAACCTCGTCAGTATGCGCGTTCCATTTTCTCCACCGACACGCGTGGCACACGATGTATGAATGACGGGGGAAAAATGATCGCGCTTGCGTCAAGAAAGTGGCACCGTTCTGCTCGCGATCACGGCGGACGAAAGTGCCGGGAGACGCCGAAATCTCTTCGCCGGCTTGATTTTTGTGTTTTTTAAAGCCAACTTTAGGGATCTCGTGTCTTTTCCAAGGAATACCTAAGAATGTAATTGCCGAGTACATGCTGAAAATCCGCGAGCGAATGCTTCCCGCCTGTTACCGTGCATCCTACGCGCGATGCTCCGGAGGCGCCTTTATCTTCTCTCCGTCTTTCCGAAACATCGAGTTCGCGAAGGAAGTCGAAACTTTTGCAGCGCTCTGTACTCGGCGTACACCGTCGTAGGTACGGAGGAAGAGAGAGACGGAACCGGCGCACGTAAAATGTGCAATTGGACCAACGACGCCGATGACGACGTCGATGACGGGCACGACACACACACGCACGATAGCGTTTCGTGGTTCTCGGTGGCCGCCGCTAAGGACGAGCGTCCATGTGCGCACACGCACTCCGGAGAACGGTGGTGCATCGCACCGTCGGATGATAGCGATGGTAGTAGCACGAGTGTGGAGGAAGAGCCTTGCGATGGCGGCTGGTAGTAGTGCGCCTAGTTGCGGCCCGGTAGTAGTTTAGCAGTAGTGGTAGTAGAGTAGCAGCAATAATAGTAGTAGTGCCGACAGAGTCGTGGTGGTGGTAGCTGATGGTGGTGGTAGTTGCGGGTGGTGGTGGTGGGCAACGAGAGAGATGGTGGGGTGTACGGATGGCGGCGCTCCTAGCGCGCAAGCCGCGCCGTCCGACGCGAATGCAGTTACGGGAGCGCAGCGCGACCCAACGCAACTCGACTAACGTCGCATATCCGGATCAAACGTCGACAAGTGGAGTGCGTGTGCGTGTGTCGTCGTCTGGTCTCCCTCTCGCCCGTGTTTCACGCGCGAATACCGGCAGCAGGGGGAGATTGACGCAGGGGCTGAAAAAAGAGAGAAAGGAAAGAAACTGGAAAGGAAGAAGCCCGTCGGGGGTGATCGTGAAGGGTAAAATTGGCCGCGAAAAGTGCGAAGAGGTCGATCCAGTCGTTGTTGTTATTGTTGTTATTGTTATTGTGCGCCGACTCGGATCGTGACAGAGAAAACAACCCTCGAGTTGCCGATCGTCGTCGGCGCGGAACGAAGAGGCATCGCCGAGGAACAGGAGGATCGAGACAGGGAAAAGATCGCCGCCATTGTCTCGCTGCCTTCGTCGTCTCGGTACCTGCGGTACCAGCGTGATCGCGTCGCGGGGACGCAGGGAGAAGAACACCGGCGCTCCGCGAGGACCGCGTAGACGAACGGAGCAACAGGCTCCTTCGAGAGAGAGAGGGGGGGGGGAGGGGGTGCATCGGGGAGCATCCGTCGCGACGCCCGCGTGCCATCGTCGCCGTGTGTCTCGCTTGTGCTCCGTTTTCGCGAGTGTGCTGTAACAAGTAGACTTCGGAGCGAGATTCTCGATGAGAAGAAGGATGTCGCCTAGAAAGCGCGCCGATCGCCAAGACCGGCTGCTCGTCGGAGTATCGGCGAACAGCGACGCGGAGCTGTGAAGAGGTGGTGAGCACGCGTGAGAGGAAGAGGAAGCGCGACGGTCCTTCCCGCCGCGAGAAGTGAGTAATCGTGACTTTATCTCGCGACGATCCGTGCGTTCGAAGGACGACGAGGAGGGAATTAAAAAAGAAAAAAAGCAAAAGATGCGCTCGGAAATCTGACGATTTCCCTTGTAAGCGTTCAGTTTAGAAGTACGCGAAGCACAGTGACGCCGGAGTGCCAGAGGAAGAAAGGTGCATGTACGTAGACCGTGTGCGAGTGAGAAGGAGTGTCCTCCAACGTGCGCGCGCGCGTCCGCGTTCGCGCCCGTTCGCGCGTGTGCGTCGAAGGAGAATGTGCACGTGTCATCGTGTGTGCCTCTAGGTGCTCGAGAGAGAGAGAGAGAGAGAGAGAGAAAGATAGAAGAAGAGAGTCACGAGGAGGACCGATCGACGGCCCGCGCGCGAGGCAGACTAGAGTCTCTCTTAGATACTAAAATGGCCGAAAAGATGCGTCTCCTCGCGAACGTCGCCGTGAGTGCGTCCAAACTATCATCGGATGTATCGTCCGTTCGAGAGAGAGAGAAATTCGGAGCACTCGAAGAGGATCGGTGTCGCGTTCAGCGACGTCTCCGCCGGCATTTTTCTTATCGCTGTTTTGTCTACGATCATCTTCTACCTTTCGACTGCTTCTTCCTATCTGCCTCTTCCTGTCTCTCTCTCTCTCTCTCTCTCTCTCCCTAGCGGCGAATTGACCCCGTTATCAGAGAGATCGCCAGAGGCGAATTATTTCGCACGCTGTGTGTCTCGTCGAAGTGTCGTCGGAGTTTTCTCATCGCCGATGCGTTTTTATGAAATTAATTGGTCGACGTGGTCTCGGACGAACGTTGAATAAGCTCCTCGTTCGTTAATTACCGCCGACGAATCGGTTTTATATTGTCGTTCCTCTAATGTCGCCAGCGTAGATCGACAATGTTCGCTACCTGTTCGATGAAATTAGGAAAGGTTAGGCTTGAAGTTACGATCATAAATCGTCGTCGGAAAAATGCGATTTCGGTGTACCGGTCGAATCGTTTTGCGACGTCAGCAAGTTACGGATACCTTCTCAATTTTTTCTCCCCCGCGATGTGTTCTCTGAATTCTCGGAGTGTGTCAAATTCTAGCAGCTACGCGCTAAAATAGCGATCTCGTTAGACGTTAAATCGTGCCACCAGTGTAATTTCTTTTTTTCGCCGATATATTCGCGCCACTGTATCCTTTTCACATATCGCGCTCGCTACAATATATCTCGACAACCATGCGTGAATACGCGTGGTGCCGGCTGAAATTTCCGCCGGCACGCACCGTCCACGTAATATCGAGAATCATATTTTCGCCTCGATAGAAAAGGCATCGCGCGTTGTGACTGTTAATCCGCGAGTCGCTTCACGCGAGCGAATTTGATCCAGATCGATTCCAATCGCGCCATTGTGTCGGATAACGTTTACCAAGGTTCTTTTGTGCGCTGGAAAAACACGTTGCTCCGATTGCGGGGCAGTGTTTTCCCGAAAATCAATGCGGGATCTGTAATAATGAGCGCTTTGAGGAACGAAAGCGACGCATTTCCGATTTTGCATTGGTGTCTGCTTCAGACAGGCGTACGATTACTCAAAGTGTAGCGGAATTGAAGTTGCAGGTGACGAGATAAACCGCCGATGAATTCTTCATTTTCCACGAAAGCGATCTATCAGCCGCCGGCGGATATTACGCGAACGGCCTGTTACTCAATTAGCGCGTTCATTACTGTTTAGTCAAAACACTTGTTCTTTTTTCATCAATTGCTCTCAGGCCAAAAGTGTTTAATTTCGTGTCACGTTAAACATCACTGAAAATATTGATACTTCAGTGACGCATTATATCGCTGATAATTATTGCCCAATGTATAGCCAAATTTTGAAATTTACATACACTGAGAGAAATTGTAGTTAATTTTGGCCTCAACTATACCTTTTTTTATGATTTTAACCACAAAAATAGTAATAGCAAGGGGCATGTAAGTTTATTAACACTGCACACAAAAAATTTGGTGTCAAGAAAGGTCTACTGAATATTGTATTACTTCAATGTGGAAAATATAAAGTACACAGATATGTGGATATTAAGAAATGCAGAAATGTAATGTTAAATTGTCAACGTGTAATTAATTAAATTAATTTAACATTACATTTTTACTCTTTTTGAGAAACACGCGGTGGCTCATTTTTAACAGAAACTTTTTATTCCTATAGAAAAATAATTCTCCCACTATGATGATGATTATTAGAAATATTTTTCTCTCAGTGTCCAAGTGATAATATTTTCATCCTTTCCGACGCGCGCGTCGACTTCGCGGAGAGAAAACGCGAGAATCGATTAATAATCCGGGGGATCGAATAAAAATGCTCGAGCGCAGAAACGGGCGTCGAAGGATGCATAGCAAATGCGAGATGCGGGCGTGCGCGCGTCTGTCAGTTTTATCGAGCGAAGCCGGTCGTCACGTGTTCCGCGCGGAAACCTGTCGCTCCGACAAGTCGGAGAGACCGGAACCTCGTTGTCTCCGACGTTACCGACGTGTATATGCGATATGGACGTCCGAAAGCTGAAAACGCGGAGATTCGAGCGGAGCGCGCTCACGTACACGGCCAAATCGAAATTCTTTCCGTCCACGGATTTCGTTTCATTCGCTGGATTCTGCCAATAAATTTCGATCACTCTCCGCGGAGTTCCTTCATATTCCCCGACGTATTCCAAACGCGGACAATCCGCGAAATTCCACGCGGTGAGTTCACCTCTTCGTTAAAACGCTTTTAATTCTTTTCCGATTCGGTTTTGACGCGCTCGTCGTGGGATAACTGAGCGAAATTTCAAGGACTGTGCGCGACCGTGAGATTTTCGGAAAGCTGCGATTAATCTCTCGTCGGCGTTCTACCTGATTCCCGTCCGGCCACGAGGCTCCTTTCGTCTTGCGACGCTCCATCGCTCGGAAGGGTGGAAGCGCGCGGCGGCTGCTCCTCCTCAGAATGTAATATTCTTCCGATAACAGAGGCGCGCGATCTATCGAGTAAACAGATTCCTGGATGTTTACGTTCTACGAACCAATTACACTATGCCCAGTCGAGCGGCCAGCGCTTGGTTCGCAGGGTAATTAGAACGTTGCAAAAAGAACGCACGGGCTGTGTGCGAGGCTAATTCGATGGAAATGCGTGTAAACCGGCCTCGCCCGACGTTCTTTTTTGTCCCGATCGGTGCCTCCCGCGGAAATCTCGCGGCAACGTTCCCGACCGTCGTCGCTCGATTTCCGGCTCGTTCCGTCGATCCGCAATAGATATGGTGTGGCTTTCCCAAAAGTCGCAATACTTGCCAACATCTGCTAATGCTGGGAAAAGGTTTTCCACTAGAAAATATCTTACAATTTGGTGTTTGGAACAAAAGGTTTATTGCATCTATTGTGGACTAACGACGCAGACGAGATGAAACAGGCGGGAGAAAATTTTAAATCCCGAGTCGAAATTTTAGTCCTAATGTTTTTATTCTACAACACAGGAGTAGGAGCTCAAGTGGCACAAAATAGATGACATCTTAAATTTCCTCAGTTTTCGTGTCAAAATACATAGAGTTAAAATGAAATCTGTATAGTTGTTAGAAGTTCAAGGAAGAAATTAATCGTCAAAGTAGGTTTTCATTAGTCCAAGTCAGCGCAAACTATCCTTGAGAGCGTCAAAGTATCATCCAAATTTCGACTCAGGATATAAGAGTGAAACGACGCTCGTTCGTTTGCGAGTAAACACCGGGAAAAATCGTAACATCACCTGCTAACGAAATCGAGCGATTCGTGTCGTCGGTGCGCAATTTTTCGAAGCCCCTGTGCGATCGGCCTCAGACGAATCTCGTCACCGATCTCTTTGTCACGGGAAGTTCGACTCATCGAAGTGACTCACGGCCGTGCGCGGCCTCGCGAATTTGCTCGCCCGTGGCGCGATAAATCGCGTATCGTTGCCTCGGAAGTGGCGGACGGCCGGTGTCGGACGTTTAACGGTGCGTTGAGCACGGACGTTTATTGACGTAATAATTTAGCGAAATTAATTTGCGCGAAAGATCGGCCGCGCCGACAGTAGCGTCGCCACGAATTCGTGCGGTATCGGCCATACATGACCGTTCGGATGTTTCGCGCGTGCGGAGGAACTATCTATCGGCTCTCCCTTCTCGTCCTTTCTCTCTCTGTTTATTATTATTTTCACCCTTCATTATCTATCTCTAATACGTGCAATCCTTTCTTTCGATTTTTAAGTTCATATAAAGATTTAACAGTAAATGTGCAATGTAATGCTCACCTCTGGCCGCACTTCCACTGCGAATCTAGGCTTTTTAGTATGAATCCTCTTTTCTATCTTTTTTTCTTCATTCTTTGCGCTACTTTCAATGTGGTCTGTTCTTTTTCGCTGAACTGGCTGCACTAACTGGTTCTCCTCTTTCTTTCACCGAGTCTTATCTCCTTTTAAATTTTATAAGTGTGTATTATTTCAGCGAAAAAAATAGACTTCTTATTAACGATGTATTGTTCTACTAAAACACCTAACCATCTTGTTTGTATCATTACTGTAAAAAGTCTTGACGCTAAATAAATCTCTACTACACTATCTCTCTGTAAGCACCGTGTCAGAGTTTTCCCTCGTCCACGAATTTCCGTGCTCTTACGAAAATCACGCTCCGTTTGAAGATTTTCCGGAATATCGCCCCGTAGGCATCGCGCCTCTAACGATACTTCATAACGTGGAGATAACGATCGGGGCGGTATTAAAACGTAATCAGCCCGCGCGATTATATCGGGAAAGCGCCGAACGTGCACGCGCGTGATTATCTTCGGCGTTTTCGTAGAGCGTACGCTTACCACATCTACATTTCTCGCGGCCGCAGCGTGGCCTGAAATTGATCGCGCCTCTTTCTCCCTCGTCGCGAAATGTCAAGGCGAAGACGGCGAGGCTCTCGCTCGTTCACTCGCTCGTTCGCGCGATTTTTCCAAATCGAACGCGATTTTCGCGCCGTGCCTGTCACGTAGCGCGGCC